AGTTCTGCTTAATTCTGCTGCTTGTTAGAGACATTCTGTTTAATCCATTAGTGACCCTATTTTCTCCTTGCTCTGAACTTTTTTATTCTAGGTTTTTATTCAGTGTAGCTATTTTTGATAGTGTTTCATGCTGCAGTTTTCACAGCTACTTAACTGTGAATCCAGCATCACTACTGTAGTTCCCAGTGGCCCCTCTGTCCCTGCTGTTCCTCCTCACATACCATCTGTGTGAATTAGAAATTGTTCAGAGGTGGAGGCAAATAGAAGCAATGAAATACGTGCACCAGTAAATGAGAAAAGGCTGGGGACACAGCTTGACGCCGGCTGTGTTTTTAGATTTTTCCACAGCATGCTCCAGCTAGCACTCTCCCAAGCAAAGTTTGGGGATCCCTCCAAAAGGCAAAATGGAAACCACTAGATCAGATTCTTTTCCTGTCCTGCAACCTCCTCAGGTTCTGCACCCTGAAACACACCACACACACTCCTGTGCTCCCTCTCCCCAGGATGTTCAACACATAATTTACACTAAAGGTTATTAAAAAAATAATTTTGTAGCCTGCACACGGCCCCTGTGCTATTTCAAATACCATGAACTGAAGTAGACGCATGTGTTTATTGAATTTTTGGATCACCATACAAGGCCCAGTCAAGTCAAATAACTAAACACAATGCGGATGGAATATCTTGCCCAAGTTTGAGCACAAAATCTATAACAGTCCAGACAAACCCAACTCTTTCAAGACATAGGTTATAGAGTATAACAGGCAAATCATCCTTTCTTACTAAGAGATAAACTCAACCTCTCTACCATCCTTTTAGTGCTCATTGCTAGTCACAAAGATATCATAGAGTCATAGAATGGTTTGGGTTGGAAGGGACCTTTAAGATCGTCTAGTTCCAACACCACCACTATAGGTAGGGACACCTCCCTCTAGACCAGGTTGCTCACAGCCCCATCCAGCCTGACCTTGAATGCTTCCATGGAGGGGGCATCCACAGACTCTCTGGGCAACCTGTTCCAGTGTCTCACCACCCTCACAGTAAAGAATTTCTGCCTAACATATAGTCTAAATCTACACTCTTGCAGTTTAAAACCATTTCCCCATGTCCTGTTGCTACATGTCCTTATTAAAAGTCCCTCCTGTAGGGGGACGTTCCTGTAGGCCCCCTTCAGAGACTAATACAGTGTCACTGGAGCTTCTCTTATCCAGTCTGAAGAGCCCCAGCTCTCTCAGTCTGTCCTCATAAAAGAGGTGCTCCAGCTCTCTGATCATCTTCTTGACCCTCCTCTGGACCCGCTCCAACAGCTCCATGTCCTTCTTGTGTTGGGGCTCCAGAACTGGGCACAGTACTCCAGATGGGATCTCACGAGAGCAGAGTAGAGGGGCAGAATCACCTCCCTTGACCTGCTGGTCACACTTCTCTTGATGCAACCCTGGATACCCTCCATTGCCAACTCATGTTGAGTCCTTCATCAACTAACATCCCCAAATCCTTCTCCTTAGGGTTGCTTTCAAGCCATTCTCCTGCCACTAAGTCCTACTGTCCAGGAGTATGCTCACACAGCAGTAAGAATGTAGATGCCAGAGACAAATGTTCTTCATCTTTTTTTTTCACTTCTTTCAGACTCTTCTTTTCTTAGAGATAGGGCACTTGACTGCAGCTCATCAGTGTTTTGCATGTAACTGCGTTCACCCAACAATGGAACAAAGCTACAGAGCTTTTAGGATTGCAGCTCCAGCGGTCTGGTCACTCCCCTAAAAACTCTTGTGCAAACCTCCTCTCCAGCAGTGTCGGATCGTGCCAGACACGAGGTGTCTCATTATATCACACTCCCAGCACTCAGCTGCAGCTGGCACACCCTGCTGCATTTAAGCCTCCAATGTCAGATGTCACTGCACAATGGTTCCAGACACATATTGTTGGTCTCCTTCAGTACCTCTGCTCCTTGTGAGACCTTTCCCTCCTTGTGAGACCTTTCCCTACCAATTTTTGTACTTTGCTTGGCAAACACCCTGCAACACTGGTTCCATGTCATTTTCCAGTGAATTCTCAGTCCTGTAGTACTTAATTGCCCTGGCTTCTTAAGTATATGTTTCCAAAGCATTTTTTAAAAGAGGGAAAAGGAAACGAAAGGGAAGGGAAGGGAAGGGAAGGGAAGGGAAAAAGGGAAAGGAAGGGAAGAGAAAAGGGAAAATGGAAAAGGGAAAGGGGAAAAGGGAAAGGGAAGGGAAAAGGGAAAAGGGAAATAAAAGCTAACAAAACAGAAAATATAACCCTCTCACACACACACATGCAAAATATTTCAAGGTACCTCTTCTTAGTCTCATTGATGAAATGGGTTGTTTTTTTCCACCTAAACTGGCAATGTAAATGACTGCTTATTGATGCATAATCCCACTGGACTGTCTGCCTGCAGGCTTTGTTCACCTTTAATTCTATGAATTTTTCCATATGTTGCAAAGTCTCACCTGGGAACCATGGTTATAAATCTCCAGTCGTTATTTAGTGGTGATGCCATTATTTTGCCACATTGGTGACTATACTTTTACCAAGAGCAATAGTTGTTTGTCCAAATTTCTTCCTTATTCCAACTGAATATGGGCCTGAATGTTTCACCTCAGCTGATGCATAGGTGCCAACACCCACTATGTTACTCTCGCCCATAAGAGGCAAAGGTTTAAATAATAGCTTTGCAGCTGGTCCATAACAGTACCAGTGCCTTCCAATGTTTAAAAGTAAAGAAATCGGATCAGTGACATTACAGCATGGTATTTTTTTCCATTATTATGAGAAAAATTTTCAAATGTGAAGTATCAGCTTGTCTTGCAAGCTCTACATTCTTAAATATTGTTTATTAGTCAATGCAATTTACTCATAAACTGACCTACAGGATTTTCTATTTGATTAAAATCATCAGTTTCCCTCATTCATTCTGGGCTGAAGTGCAGTAGCTCCACCCAGTTTCAGTGCTGGATATAAAGGAGTAGCATCATCTCATCAAAGTAACTTGAGACTGTGTGGTGCCAGGCAACAGATCAGTGATCTGCATCAAAATCTTACTAAAACACAGTAACTACCCCTGTCTTGTGGAGAACAGGTTGGGACCCCAAGTAGATGGTTCCACTGAGGCCTGCAATGGTTGGAGGGTATGTTCAAGCCTCCACAGCCCATTATCCACACTGGTGGTAGCACTCCTATAGCTCATACATGGAGATGAGGTAGAAAGATGTCAAATAGGGTTTGAGATGCCAGCTTTGTTGAGGACCTCTGCTTCCAGTCCAGAGACTGAGTTTAGCTCTTAGCATTGGTTGTCTTATCAGACACATTCATGGGGGTCTGTGACATGCTTTACTGCCATTCTCAGCTATATCCTCAGATTTTCATGTACAATAAAAGCATTAGTTTCCCTCTAGTAGGAAGGAGTTAATTATTTGAATATTTGAAGAGTTGGAGTTGAAAGGGAGCCTGCTGTGTCACTGTCTGCAGTGTTTCCATCAGGTCCTCCTGTCCAAGACCTAATCAGGTTCAGCCTCCCAAGAAGAGAGCACTGGGAAAAGTGACTGGAAGGGAGAGCATCTCTCATGTAGTGCCTGCTAAGCCAAAACTTTTGGCACAGGGATAATGCAGATGTTTTCATGATGTTTTTAGAACACAAGAGGTTTGAGAGTTCCTCAGGATAAACACACCTTGGGTTTTGTAAGAAATTTCATCAGTGGTCCTATGTGGATCATTAAAATGCATCCAAAAACAAAATAAAATCAGCCTTAATAGTTTCCCATCATATTATTAAACATCAAGCGTAGACAAGATGCACGGGAAAGTTGAGAATAAACTACTGGTATGCTGCCTCTTTGAGACAGGGAGAAGGTATTTTGCTCTTTGTGTCCTCTCAGATCAAAGCTAAATAGAAAGCAAAATCACTTGAAAAGAGGTTGATAATTCCTTGAGATCTACTTAAAAAATCATTTTAGACAGAGTTGTATGAAACCAGGATTAAGTACATCTAAAGCACTTTAAAATTTTTATTCCATTCCTTACGTCAGTTTTTTTTCCTAATCCCCTGATTCTCATTAGTTACTTGGCTTCTATGTACTGCTTCCCACAGCAAAACAACTTAATGTGGTGATGATGAGATGGAAATATTGTTCCCTGCAATTGAACTTTGCCAGCTGAGCCCGTCTTTAGCAAGATGTAGCAGCAGAGCAGAACTCAGAGCTGCAGCTCAGAAACACACATTCCAGTTTTTTTCTTACTCACGCAGGTCAATTATCAGTGAACTGAATTCCAATCATAATGCAGATAGCCCTAAAGAACATTTTAATATGGTGTATAAATGTCATAAAAAAAACCCATACATATTTCACATGTAATTGATGGGCTTGTTCAGTACATGAAAACAAGTATGTTGTTCATAAAATAAGAGTCTTTGCCTTGCACAGGGCTACTCCTCCCTTTGCTCCTGAACAGACCATTTTCCAAAAAAGCGTCACTCCTTTCATCAGATTTTTCTAAGACAGGCAATGCCTAAAATACCCATTCCAGCACAACAGAGTTTAAAAAGAACGTTATAAAAGTCTGGAATAAGTCATTATTTCAGTATAGCAGATGTAAACCAAAATTAATTCATATATCCCTGATGAGTTGATGCCCACTTAAACAACTGAATAGAAAATGTATTCTAAAATTTTCTTTTTCCTTGGGGGTAGCAGTTGCCATTCCAGTGTTACCCAGAAATTCTCCAAAGTCCTGCAATAATCATTGCTGAATGCATCACTGTAATCTCTACATGTACCTTCAGCCATTCAGTTTTGCCATGGAATAATGGCCAAATAAAATGCATTCTTATAGCAAAGAAGACAATTACCACTAGAGATATCAAGAGCAAGAAGGTTGCTAGATATCTCATCAGCTAATGATATATGGGATTGTTCTTCTGATATGTGACCAAAAAAAAAAATGCATCCAAACAGCTTTTGTAAGTTTTTGAGTGTTCTTATTCTGAATGTGGAGGGTAACTAGAATGCTGGACAAAAATTGAGAGCCATGATCAGTGGTCACTGGGCTATCCTTCCCCAGGAACTAGGAACATGCATCATGAAGTAACAAAGTGTTGGATGAAAGAAGTTCAATGAGATGTTGTTATACCTGTGAAAAAGAAATGAAATTTGGTCTTACTGCAGTTTGATATCAGAGAACTCCATTAAGTTAACTAGAGCAACATATGATATGATCAGTATGATCAGAGTGAGCCATCAAAATGCAGACCAGTAGCTCTAGGACTGTCAAACACTTGCTGAGTGTCACAGAGAAGCAATGATTCTGGAATCTGAATATAACTGACTAATGGTACGAATGGTTAATGACATCATTGCTAATGATTTGAAGATGAGTTTTCAACTGCTCAGGAGAGCAGAGGAGAGTCACCACTTCCCAACTCTACTAGACAGACCTGTGGTCTCTCTAACTGTCTCAGGAGTGTCTCATGCCTTTGCAGGGCTCTTCACATTACACAGGTGATGCTGAATCTACCATCAACAAGACAGATATATACATGAGACACTGATAGAACACTGGAGATAATATCCCACATCACAGAGCAGTACAGCATCACTGACGCAGTTTTGTACATAAGCTAACAAGGACTTTCATCAATGCATATCACATTAACTACAACACTGCACTGACCCAGCTGAGTTATTTGTACATAGAGAATTAGTCCTGACACCATGAACTTAAGTATCTACTGCTTGGTGCACAGTACTTGAAATCCTGTCTCTAGCACAAAGAATTAATGCCTCACCATGATGAAGTCTGTTAGAAATAAATGTTGGCATGTGAAATATTGTTATCTGATCCAAGAAAAGTTAATTTTTGTAAATCTGTAGTGCAATCCACCACAAGTATTTAGGCTATTTCCTCCGTCACACAGTGGCTAAGAGCTAAATTCATCTTCAACTCAATTTTGTTTATTTATCCATAAGAGTCACATTTATCAACACTTCCTAAGTTTATTATTTCTATGTACTAAGTGGGTAAACAATTCCAGAAATATAATATCCAACATCCTTCCAAAACTCCTTTGGAGTTACACTGACAGCAGAATTGGGCTATGAAACAGAGAAAAAAAATTTACTTTTTCTTTCTTGTAAAATGGTACAAATAAAACTTAAAAACAAAGTGTATCTGTTAATGAGGTGGAGAAAGACTGTAGTCTGGCACTGGGCAGGGAGGGAAAGAGAGAGCTCCTTTCTTCTCACTACTAAAATGAATTTTGCATGAAGTTATTACAAGATGTAATGTTAAGAAAACCTTGAGAGAAAAGACCAAAAACTAAAATTCACTGACCCAACCAATAAATTATAGACTCCATATATAAGCTCATTCACTTTCTGCACCAAGAAATATGTTTTTGCAGCAGTGTTTCCATGTGGGGACAGAGGAGCAACCCATCCACAAGCCCATGCACTGCTATTTACCTGTAACCTGTATTCAATACAGAAAGCCCAGAGCCTGATGCCTCGAGTATACATAGTGGAGGTAGAAAACACAGATTCAAAGCCCATGAAGATAAGACTAGATGAAGCAGCAATTTGTGACGCTCAGACATGAGAATGCTCAGGCACTGTGATGAGCATAGTGCCACAAACATGAGCCATGGCCATGAATTTGTAAGACATGCCAGGCAATGCTAAGAACATGGCACCTTACTCCCAACTAGGCACAGTCAGACTATGTTTAATGGGTGAGTTTTCACATCGATTTTCAGTAGGGTAAGAAGAGAGCAATGAAAACCTAAATTTTCCATAATCTGTTGTAAAAATACAAAAATTAAAATTAATATATACGTATTAAAGAAAATTGTGGCAGACTTTACATTCTAGAAATAAGACAGTACAGAAGGATGGTAGGATGGACACTACCTTGCATACTGTGGATTAGTGGTAGTGATGGGCAACAGAGCCAAGTGAGTTTCTTACAGCATAATAATGAATATGACAAAGTAGATTTATATGATTAAACCTTTGGCCCCAGTGTTCAGTTGGAAGAAGCAAGATGCACTTCTTTGTTTTCCCACCCACTTCAAACTGAGTCCGAGCACGTTAAGGCCTCACTGCTTGGTGTGTGTACTCTGGTCATGAAACTATGCCATCAGCATTACTACAGGATGGTGAGAGGGAACAAGATGTGTTAGGGATACAAACTAGAGAAGGTTAGTGGAGCCAGCAGGATGACAGAATGAAATTGCACATACAGATGAGAGGCTTAGCAACCTGCCCATTTCCAGCAAAACTAAGACTACCCATGGAAGAGAAAACTCTCACAAGAATAATCACACAATCAGGACAAGGAATTAACACTTGTTATTCAATCTGTTTATGAAGGCTACACACATCACATTTTAAAGAATGCTCATAGTTGCTACCTGCTAGTTTTTATGCAGCTACAACACAGAGCCACATCTGAGGCATCCAAGATATTTTTTAAATTTAATATTTCCAGTAACGTGCTTTTTACATTTTGTTGGGGAGATCTGACCTTCTCCGTATCATAACCATGAATCAGCCTTTCATGAGGCATCGATTTGTAGCCAAAAGATACTGCTTATGCTTTCTCATGATTTACGGTCAGGCATTCCTGTAGGCATAAAACACTTCTAGCGGTTCAAGCCAAAAGGACAAGCAAAACCATGAGAAAGAACCTACATCCATTAAAACACTCTAGATTTTTTTTTAATGTTTTCTTATTTCCTTTCCTGAGGGAGATTTAGGAAAAATGAAGGAAGGACTTTGCTATACTCACAATTGTTATAATATACCAATTAGAAAGTGGGTCAGTACTAATCCTGTAAAGAAGTAGAAATCATTCCCAGTGGGAAAAGGGACTTCTTTGTCCTACATCGGTCCTGACATCCACTAGACAGTGGATCAAGTCCAGAATAAGTAAGAATCCATGCCATTCTCAGAAATATTACTAGGAGACAGCTGTGCTGATGCATGAGATTCCTTGCTCATATGCAGAGACTCACCTTCCAGTGTTTTCACAGAACCACAGAATTGCTGTAGTTGGGAGACTGGATGGGATCACTGGATGTCATCTGGTATAATACCCAGAGCAGGGTGCCCGGGACCACAGCCAGGCAGCTTCTGAAGATTGCCAAGAAGGAGATCCCACAGCCTCCAGGCAGCCTGTGACAATGCTCCATGTTCAAAGGGAACTTTCTGTGCACCAGTTTATGCCCACGGCCTCTGGTCCTGGCACTGGGCACAGTGACAGAGCCTGGCTCTGACTTCTTGGTACTGTCCATGCAAGAGCTTTTAATGCAACCTAGAGAGAGCAATCTTTGCAGGGGCAGATGAGATGAATTAAATATGGAAGAGCTGTTTTGAAGCTGGTCAAACTCAAGGGACAGACTCCAGCAAATGAATTTCTGTAGAATTACTTTGTGGGTAATTTTTCCTACAGAACAACAAATTACATTGCAACCTCTTCCTTGAGGTATAGATGTGTGCTATTTTTACAACAAATACAGTAAGACTAGGAATTCCTCACATGCAAATCTCTGTCATTTCAGTATAGCTGATACCTTAATTTACCAAGTTTTCCCCTTTAAAACCAAGCAATTTATTTACAGACCTGCCCTTCCTTATTTGTTCATTTCATATAGACTAAATCAATTAGTGACTACTCCAATCAATATTATTTCAATATTATTTTATTCAGACAGCTAATCAGCTTTAAAAGAAAAGAAAAAAAAAAAAGTAAAAATTGCAATAGCACATTTTGATTAACTACTGTCTTCATGTTCATTCTCTGGGAGCCAAGGTCTCACAAAAGAATTCACTCATGGGTAGTCATTACTCTCAAAAATGTGTCAGTGATTTCTATAAATCACCATCAGGAAAATCTCTTTAATTAACATGTCTCAAAGCATTTTCCCCAAAAGTGAATTCTCTCCAAATTGGAAATATATGGATTTGACAGGTAGACTGTTTGATGGATGAGGAACTAGTTGTGAGGTTGCATCCAGAGAGTGGTGGTCAGTGGTTCAATGTGTGGATGGAGATAGTGATGACTGGCATCCCTCAGGAATCAGTATTGAGTATCTTCATCATTGACATCAACAGTGGGATCGAGTGCACCCTCTGAAAGTTTGTGGATGATATAAGCTCTTTGGTAGGGTCAACTCGCCTGAGGGATAGGATGCCATTCAGAGAGATCTAGACAAGCTCAAGCAGTGGGCCCAGGAGAATCTCGCGAGGTTCAACAAATCCAAGTGCAAGGTCTTGCCCCTAGGTCATGGCAACTTCCATTATCAGTACAAACTGGGGGATGAAAGTACGGAGTACAACCCTGACAGAAAGGATCTGGGACTACTGGTGGATGGGAAGCTGGACATGAGCCAGCAATGCCCTCGCAGCCCAGAGAGACTATCGTATCCTGGGCTGCATCTAAAGAAGCATGGCTAGCAAGGTGACAGAGGTGATCCTGCACCTCTGCTCTGCACTGGTGACGTGTCACCTGGAGTACTGCATCCAGATGTGGAGTCCTCACATCTATACCAGAGACCACTCTGCTTCCTAACTTATCACTGCAGTAAACTGACAGCTTCTGGCACCTCACCTATTCCTGCTCATCCCAGAACAGAACCAGAGATCACTCTGCTCAAACAGGACTTTCTTGGCTGAAAGCTGGCACCGTGGATGCTTCCCACACCTCCCCGTGGTTGCACAATTTGACCCTGAGAGGATGACTAGGCTTTTCCGGGGGTCAGCCCTGCACTTCCAGCTGCACATCGCTTTCCCATAATGTGCTAAGACATTACCTGCATTCATCAGCAGCAGCATTCCCAGGAATCTCTGTGATTTCTAGCTGTGAAAAATGTCCCCGAGAAGACAAGCCAATGCAGAGAACTGCCAGAACTGCTCTGCTTTGCAATCCAGAAATGCTACAGGGCAAATTGTGGAGCAGGTGTAGGAAAGAGTGGGTTGATATCCTCAAGATAGGTAAGAGATATCTCATAACCGATCCTTTCTACTACCTCAGTAATATTTAAGTATTAAAATTCATTTTCTCATAACTGCTGCCTTTACTTTATCTTGCATGGCAAATGCAGTCCCTTTTACTTGTGTTTTATCTGCACACTT